CAGTATCAAAGCAGAAAAATCTATAATATTGAGGATAATGGAAGAGAGGAGTGAGTGTGTGTGTGTGTGTGTGTGGCAGATTCTCTTCTAGCTGAACACAAATTAGTTTATGTAACAATATGGGTGAGATATCAGCAAAAATAAACTTTCTAATTAAACTAAGAGCAGAACACAGAATAGAAAGATATATCATGCTGGTAGTTTACATGAGGAATCTAAGGAACATGTTTAAAAAAATCTGCTAAAGTCTATTATGTCACCTTTAAAACAAACAAGTAAAAATCTGAAGCTTTGCTGTGTTCTGAGTAAAAACTAGTTGAATGAAATTGAATCAATAATGTAACTGCTAGACACACACTCTCCAAGAAAAGGGAAAGAAAGGGAAAGGTCTTAAGGATAGAAACGTATTTGTAGTAACTTTTATAATAGCAAAGAAATAGAAGCAAAGAGGGTATCCACTGATTGGAGAATCACTGAACAAATTATTGTATATGAATGTAAGGGAATATTATTTAGCTGAAAGAAATTATAAATATGGAGAATTCAAAGCAAACCCAAAAATGTGTTTTAAAAGACTGTAAGAAAAATAAGCAGAGGAGCAGCTAGGTGGTGCAGTGGATAGAGCACCCGCCCTGGAGTCAAGAGGACCCGAGATCAAATTTGGCCTCAGACACTTAACACTTACTAGCTGTGTGACCTTGGACAAGTCATTTAACCCCACTGCCTAACCCAAAAAAAGGGGGGGGGGAGCAGAAAATACAGGGTGGGGAGGAGGGAGGTTCTTCATGATGAAAATAATAATGTAAAGGAAAATAACAAAATCTACAGAATTCTGGTCAATGCCATGACTATTCATGACCTCAGAAGACTAATGTTCGAGTTGTGGAACTATAGGTGCAAAATAAGGCATATATTTTCATATGCAGCTTATGTATTGATTTTTTCTCAGTCATAATTATTTATTACAATAGGAAGTTCTGTATAGGTGTGGGTGAGCAGAGGAAAGTTATTGACGACAGGAATATTAAAATAAAATAACAAAAACGATCAATAAAACATTTAAAAAGGAAATTAAATTGAGGACCTTCTTTTCAAAAAACTGATATATCTATAAGAATAAATATTACCATATTGTAATTATAATTAGGTTTGTATAAGACATCAAAACATTATTTTAAGTGTGTAAGCTCTTTAAGGTCAAGTTCTGCCTCACTTTGGTTTTTGTATATTCCCAGCACCTTGCACAGTGGCAGACACAAAGTAGGTGCGTAATGAATATTCACTGATCAGTAATCACAGTCTGTGTGATATGTGTGTATATGTATTTATATACATATGTTTTATATATATATGCATGTGTGTGTATATATATGTATTTATAAACATACACACCTTTATCAGTGATATAAATTTAAACCTTGAAACCTATATTCATAGAAGGAAGCACTAGCATAGATAATTTAAAACTAGAAATCATTTTATATTAGTTACAAGGCACTTGATTTGAGAAAATATACTTTTCTAAAATAATTTTGCTGAAGACATTAACATTTCCTATTTCTCTATGTACAATGACAAAAGGGAAAGGCAGTATTGAAATATGTTAGGTGAAAAAGGAATTAAAATTCAGCGTGGTTAATAAAGAGTTGATATTCTCTATCCAGATAACTATGAGTTGAATTTGTGAATGAATGTTCACAAGATGCTTACAAGATATACATGTTATAAAACTGATTCTGAATGAATGAGTAGAACATATCTGAGAGTTTTTCAATGGACTTCAGTAATTTAAAAAGATGATTAATTCTCCCCCACTTCCATAAAAGCCAAGAATGATTTTTCAAACCCACAGTCTGGTATCTTTTCTCAAAGTACAATTATTTTTTAACCTAATTTTTTTTAAGGTATCAGAATTCAAGAAAAAAAAATCATATTCCTCTGAATCAAATCTTGAATTTTTCTATACTTAGTTGCAGATTCTTGAGTACTATTTTATAGAATCTTACACTCACCAACCTAAAACTTCCCTACCAGGAGATATATCTCAAAATACACATTAACTAGCCAATATCCAAAACATAGTTGAAAATTTTCCAAAGTCAATGATAAAAGATTACACATTCTTAGTTTTTAATCACATAAAGGGAAACAAAGTAGTTCCCTCAGGAAGTACTCTGTTAAGAACCAACAAAAACTAAGTTACATGCAAACATTGATACATATGTCAACAGAGAAGGTTATTCCTTTCAATAGGAAAATGCTACTGCCTCAGAAAGCTTGATCTACTGTCACTATTCAAACGGAAGGTCCTTTTTATATATTTCATCTAATTTTTACTCATATGCAACTCATTAATTACATGAGTTCTTTTCATTCAAAAGTATTTTTCTTAAACTTTGGGAATAAATTAAATATATATTACATAAACTGGTTTAACTCCACTTTGATGCAAACAAATGAAATATAGGATTAAAGAAGGAAGCAGACATATTTCTGTACAACAGTCATATGTATTCATACACAAATGCTAAAGTTAGTATTCCTATCTAAGAATGCATATGGATGTGATGTTTACATTGCAAAAATACTTTTATAGTATTTTACAACATATAAGAGGCACATGATTGTTTTTCTATTTAAAAAGACATCAATTATTTTCTTACCCACTAGCTGTTCATAGCCCAACGGCAATTTTAGTGCTATGTTCTAGAAATACTTTTCTATGGATTGACATATGGAATGACACAGGCAAAGCTTATTATATATGACAGAAAGGGGATACTGAAATCTCTATTCAAGATTTTTATTGCGAAGAATTGGAAATTAAGAGGGTGCCCATCAATTGGGGAATGGTTGAACAAGTTGTGGTATATGAATATAATGGAATACTATTGTGCTATAAGAAATGATGAACAGACTGACTTCAGAAAAACCTGGAAAGACTTGTATGGTCTGATGCTGAGTGAAGTGAGCAGAACCAGGAGAACATTGTACACATAACAGTCACGTTGTGCAAGGACTAATATTGATAGACTTAACCCTTCTCAGCAATACAGGGATCTAAGACATCTCCAAAAGCTTCATGATGGAAAATGCTATCCACATCCAGAGAAAGAACTATGGAGTTTGAACGCAGATCGACGCATACTATTTGCTATTTTTTTTTCTGTTGGGTTTTGTTTCCTCTTTCTGGTAGTTCCTCCTATTAGTTCTAATTCTTCCTTACAACATAACTAATGTGAAAATATGTTTAATAGGAATGTATATGTATAGTCTATATTAGATTGCGTGCCGTCTTGGGGACAGAGGTTGGGAGGGAGGGGAAGAAAAATTTTAAATTCAAAAGCTTATGGAAGTGATTGTTGACAATTCAAAATAAATTAATTAAAATTTTTAAAAAAGAATGTGAAGGAATGTGACTTAGCCATAGCAGATCTCAAACTATATTATAAATCAGAAATCATCAAAACAATCTGGTATTGGCTAAGAGATAGGTGGAAGAGTGGAATAGATGGAGTACACAATACAGAGTAAGTAAAAACCATAATAATCTAGTGTTTGATAAATGCAAAGATCCCACCTTTGGGACAAGGACTCTATTTGACAAAAAAAAATTGATGGGAAAACCTATTTGTCAGAAACTAGATATAGACCAACATCTCACATGATATACCACAATAAGGTCAAAATGGATTCAAGATTTAGACATAAAAGGTGATATAATAAGCAAATTGGGAGAGCATAGAATAGTTTGCCAGTCAGATCTATGGATAAGGGAAGTGTTTATGACCACACAAGAGATAAAAACCAATACAAAATATAAAATGGACAATTAGAAACATTTTACACAAACAAAAACAATGTAGCCAAGATAAAAAGGAAACAAGAAAACTGGGGAAAATTTTACAGCAAGTTTCTCTGATAAAGGCTTCATTATATACATATATAGAGAACTGAGTCAAAGTATACAAAAAGGCAGTTTACAGAAGAAGAAATCAAAGCTACTATAGTCATATAAAAATGCTCTAAATCACCATTGATTAGAGAAACACAAGTTAAAACAACTCTGAGGTACCACCTCACCCCTACCAAATTGGTTAACATGATAGAAAGGAAAATATAAATGTTGGAGGAGATGTGGGAAAATGGGGACACTATTGCACTGTTGATGGAATTATGAACTGATACAACCATTCTGGAGAGCAATTTGGAACTATGAAAGGGCTATAAAACCATGGATATTTTTTTACTCAGCAATACCATTACTGGTTCTGTATCCCTAAGAGATCAAAGGAAAAGAAAAAGGACCTCTATGTACAAAAATATTTATATAAGCTCTTTTGTTGTGGCAAAGAATTAGAGGGAATGCCCATCAATTGGGGAATGGCTGAGCAAGTTGTGGTATATGAATGTAATGTAATACTGTTGTGTTATAGGAAATGATGAGCAGGTGGATTTCAGGAAAAAAAAAAACTTGGAAAGATTTTCATGAGCTGATGCTGAGTGAAGTGAGCAGAACCAGAAGAACATTATACACAGTAATAGCAATATTGTTATAATGGTCAACCGCGAATAACTTAACTATTCTCAGCAATACAATGATCCAAGATAATTCTGGAGTACTTAGGATGAAAAAGCTATCACCTTCAGAGAAATAACTGATAGAGTGTGCATGCAGATCACAGCATACTATTTTTTAACTTTATTTTTTTTCCACTTTTTCTCTGTGTTTGCTTTCACAACATGACTAATATGGAAATATGTTTTATAAGACTATATGTGCATACCATATCAAATTGCCTGCCTTCTTAATAAGAGGGGTGTGGAAGGAGGGAGGGACAGAATTTGGAATTCAAAATTGTAAAAAAAAAATTAATGTTAAAAATGATTTTTGCATGTACTTAGAAAAAATAAAATATTTTTTAAAAATCCTTAAAAAAAGATTTTTATTAAGTATTGTGACCACATATGCAACATGAAGAAATAAAACTGTTATTTACCTGACAAGCAATCTGTACGAGGTAGACCAGCTCCTTGGATTCACAGCCATTTTTCATGACTTCATTCTGCTCCTCTGAGAGTGAAAGCTATGCCACAAGAGGAAGAATAGGAGAAGAGAAAAAAGAGGAAAGAGCAGGAGAGCATAGGTCAGTGGACAAGATTAAGCCAACCATGTAATAATTCTTGAGAACAAAATTCACATCAACTTTTTCTAAGACATGTCTGATATAAAGACAAAGAAATCTAATATCTACTTGGGGGGGGGCAGTCAGATAAAACATTTTGAAGACTTTCTAAAAATATAGATTTTTCAAAATTATCATTATATTCTCTATTGAAAATTTTAATCTAAGGGTTAATTATTTAATAGCAACCACCCCCTTCTTCCCTCTGCCAAAAAAATTCCTTATTCCATTCATCCAATACATACTGGATATCTACTATATGCAATGCACTAAGCAAGGTGTTGAAAAGGAAAACAAAATGAGTAAGGCACAATTTCTATGTATTTGTGAGAATAAACTGATGAAAAAAGTATTTCCCTAAGCAAAGATCTGATCAAGTGATTTCCCTCCTACTGCCAGTAGAATAAAAAATAAATTCCTATGTTAAGTTTTTAAAACCCTGCAACCTGGCTCCAGTGTATTTTTCCAGAATCAATGGACATAATCCCCTCCCAAATGCTGCAGTCCAGGCATACTGGCTTCCTCTCAGCTCCATGCACAAAACACTCTCGTCATCTGTCTCTGTACCCATGCACTGACTCTCTCACATTTATAGAATGCCCTCCCTCCATACCTTTGACTCAGAGTCCTGGTTTTCCCTGAAGATAATATTCAGCATATTATCTTTCCTAATCCCCTCAAATACCCTCCTTTCAAAAATATTTTGTATTTAATTATGTTTTATGTTATTTGTATTTATTCACTTTACATTATGTATGTATACTTTTACACATATTTGTTGTCTCCCTCATTAGAATGTAAGTTATTTGTGATCAGAAATTGCTTTATTCTTTGTAATTGGATCCCCAACATTTAGAACAGGCCTGTCACATAATAGGCCCTAAGTATTTGTTGACTGATTAATAGAAGAAATGGAGAAGCAATCAACTAGAACTGCCTATAAATAGGAAAAGCAGAAAAAGGGACAGAAAACCTAAGATAAGCTTGACAAAGATACAGGGGTTTGGAGAACAGACCTGAGATGGGATTGAGAACAATGGACACCACTAAGCCAAGGGCACAGGCTGCTGGGGGTGGCTGAGCAGAAAACAGTTTTGCCCAAAAGTCAGCTAGTCAAGAACAAGCACTATGTTAACTTCTGGGGATACAAAAAAGGCAGAAGAGAAGATTCCTATTCTCAAAGAGTTGATAATCCAATGGGGGAAATAACATGACAACTAGGTACAAACAACATACATAGAGAATAAATAAAGATAACTGGCAGGGAAAGAATCAGCATTAAGGGAGATTGGGCAAGTCTTCTTGTAGAAGGTGGGATTTTAGCTGGGACTTGAAGGAAGTCAGGGAGCAGAGATGAATAAGGACAGAATTTCAAGCATGGGGGACAGATAATGAAAATGCCCAGAGCCAAGGGATGGCCTGTCTTCTCTGAGGAAGTGCAAGGAAGCAGGTATCACTTGTATTGCAGAGTCTGTGGGGGTAATGGATAAGAAGAATGAAAAGGTGGAGGGGTGAATGGTTATGAATGAATTTTGTATTTGATCTTGGAGGTGACAAGGAGCCACTGGGGTTTATTGAAGAGAGTGCCATGGTGAGACCTGTACTTTAGGAAAATCACTTTGGCAGCTGAATAGAGGATGGACTGGAGTGGGCAGAAACTTGTGGGAGGCAGACCCACCAACAGGCTATTACTATAATCCTCACATGAAGTGGTAAGAGCCTGAAGCTATGGTGGAAGTATCAGAGAAGAAAGGGGGAATATTTAAGAAATGTTGCAAAGATGAAATCAACAGACCTTGGCAACAGATTAAATACAGGAAGTGAGAAATATGAGGAGTAGAAGATAATACCTAGGTTGTAAGGCTAGGGAACTAGACAGATGGTGTTTCCCTGAATGGTAATAGGGAAGTTTGGAATGGAAGAGTGTTGGGGGGACGGGAAACAATGAGTTCTGTTACAGACATGTTTAGTTTAAGATGTCTACTGGACATCCAGTTCTAATGTCTGAAAGGAAGTCAGATATGAGACTAGATATCAGCAGAGAGCTTTGTGCTGAATAAGTAGATTTTAGAGTCTTCAGCAAAGTTGCCACATTTTAAGTAGGAAATTGGTCAACTGGAACGAATCCAGAGTATGGGGACTAGGACCATTAGATGACTCACAATAATATAATATGATGGACAATTGAAGAAATGAAGATTGCTTAGAGTACAAAAAAAAAGACATAGGGGTGTGGGGAAGACTGGAGGAACAGTGTATTTATTTTTTCAAATACATGAAAATTTATTATGTGGAAGAATGATTAGAAAACCTTTTTGCCTTCAAAGAGGAGAAACGAATGGTTCAAAGCTGGTTATCATTCTGCAAAAGGAATAAGATAATAAGATAATTAGAGCTATCTAAAAATAAAATTTGCTGCTTTGCGATTTAGTGATTCTTCTCTCATTGGAGATGTTCTAGTAGAGATTAGATGACAATTTGTTCAGTGATGTTATAGAGGAGTTCACTTATTAGGCACAGGGCTGGACTACATTTCAACTCTTAAGAGTATACACTAGATAAAAAAAGAAAGTGAAGGGAGGACTTAGGGATAAACTTTTTGACTGAAATCACCCACCCCTATTTACTAGTAGGAAGTTCAATCTCCCAATGAAAAGATGGGAGACTCAATCTAGTCCTCTTGACTTCTGGGTGACTAGCAAATGCTCTATTTCATTATATTTACATATCTTTACAAATTGTGTCCTTTGCAACCTGTTGTTAAAACATAAGCCAGGCTTTTAAATGAGTTAAATCTCAACAAATACAGAATAGGCAGTAGATTTTTAAATGTGGGATTAAAGAAATAGAGATGAATAAATTTGTCCAGTCACCGCTCTGCCAAGTTTCCTAAGGCCATTAGTAGACTATACCACAGTCAACATAGCTGTTAAATAGTTGTTGCTGCCCAACAAAAGAATATCAACTGTAAAAAGAGGAAAATTCCAAAGGGTTGTGGATTATATTCTGCTATGTTTTCTAACACTCATTGGAAAAGTTGTTATTTTTCCTGGCATTGAGAATGAAATTGTTCTAAGAAAACCTAGTAAATGTACATTTTGCTAGAAAGGGAATTTATGACAACTGTCTGGCAAACAGACCCTGACCCACACAGTTTAACTGATGCTGATTCTTATTATCTAAAGATCAAAAAAGTAAAATAATCTCCATTTCTTCATCTTCCCCTACAACTGAAATTTTAGATTTTTATTTTATTAACTCTGAAGTATCACCAACATCTTAACAGCTCCTCAACATCAACAGTTTAAAAACACTATAATAGTGTTTTTATCAACAAATAGGGACTATACACGCTCTTTGTGGGAGGAAAACTTGCTACGAACAAACACAACATTTTAGATTAATGCCTCTTTTTAGTCTAAGGGTTTTCTGGCATAGGTAGCACATTTTTTTAGATCTAAATGTAAAATTTCCATCACAATATTAGTTCAAAAGTAATCCAATATGCATTATCTTAAATCAATATCCTTAACATGTGGAGTATGAAAGATAACAAAAAGTTATGACTGATCCTAGACATAATCCTAGAGATATTGTAGAAGTACTTCAATACCCTAGAATTTAAACATGTCACTGAGTTCAATCTACCAATCAGCAAGCATTTATTATATGCTGTCTATGTGCACTGTTAGGAGATGGGGATACAAGTACAAAGAATGAAACAATCCCTACTTACAAGGCACTTATATTCCAATGGGAAGATAAGAGAGATTGTTATACACACATATTTCTCAAGCCTATGAAAAAACTTTACAAATTGTTCATGTTCATTTAAAATTGTATGTTTCTGAACAGGGCTCTCCATTAAGACTAAAACAACTGCTTACAAATACATCTGAACCAGAAGTATGATTTTTAAAAATTATATTCATTTTCTTGTATTTTTATCTTAATGTTCTTAAAATGTTAGTCAGGTGATACCACGGATTCCCTTGACATTGATAATGTTAACTAATCAATTTATCTTAAATGTAAAAGGAAAAAAAAGTAAAAATGGAATATATCCATAACAGATGACTTACTTTAACAATTCAATATATATGGACACATATATGGACATACAAAACATATGGCCTAATTGGAACATGAACAAATAAAAAATTAACACAGAATAGTTCATTCAAGCTGGTTTGGAAAGGAAAACATTAACAGTTTGAGAGGATCATGAAAGGTTTCATGCAAATGATGGTATCTGTGCTACAAGAACAAGGATCCTATGAAGGGTAAGGAAGGATTGCATTACATGCATGGGGGACACCCAAAGCAAAGGTATAGAGATAGAAAGTGGAGTGCTGTGTGTGAGGAACCAAAAGGATAACTTGACTGGATTGCAGAGTATAGCAGGGGGGTAATTTCCAATGAGGCTGAAAAGATAGCTTGGGTCCAGGCAGTAAAGGGCTTTAAAAGCTAAACAGGGGCATTTATATTTTGTCCTAGAAGCAATAAAAAAACCACTGGGGTTGACTGAGTAGGGGAATCACATGGTCAGAACTTCATTTAAGGAAAACTACTTTGGCAGCAGCAAGAAGAATGAACTGGAGTAGGGAGAGATTTGAGGTGGGGAAAACAATTAGGAGATTGTTGCAATAAGGCAGGCAGGAAATGACAAGAGCCTGAACTTAGGCAGTGCTATGTGCATGCGGATGAAAGGTTAAACTTTAGTTTGAGATATTATGCAGTTAGAAACAACAAAATCTGGCAAATGACTTGATATGTGGGATGAAATAGAGTGAGTTGAGAATTTTATTAGGGAAGGATGGCAGTAACTTCAACAGAAATAGAGAATTTTGGAAGAAGAAAATGTTGGGGGGAATGATAATGAGTTCAGTTCTGGCGATATG